AGTAAAAATGGTTCTGAAATGTCCATAAAAAGACTTTAAATCAAAGGGGCTAGCTGGCTGTAAAATCAAAGGTGACCACAGCCATGCACGCCTGTTTCCACCTCTGTGTAATTAGCAGCACTTTTAGTGTTTGCTGGCTGGACTATGCCCAGTGCTTTTTGGGATTTTAAAATATTTTTTTCTATTTAGCTAATAAAAATTGATAATAGTAGTGTTACAAGATTGCCTGAAGAAACTAGGCTGGTAACATCATTAGTGGGGAAAATGAATCAAACTACTTCAAAATGAGTCTGATTCATCCAGCTTTTTATTCCTAGTTTGAAAGGAGAGAAGGGCTCTTGTCCTCACAACAAATATAGACGTTTTAAAGCTCTTAAGTACCATCAGTGTGTTTATTCCAGGGTATGCATCATTAATGGCTGTTTTTTTCTTCTTTTTTATCTAAAAAGATGATTACACTGGTGTTTGGAGCCACTTTCCCAAGCCCCACACAATGCACTGCTGTGGAAACATGGAATTATGATTAGTTTAAAAAAGCAGGTACACAAATCAGGATAGCAGTTCTTTGTAGTAGCACACTGGCAGGCTGATTCCAAAGGCCTTTTTCCCAGTATATAAAGGCACCTTTAAATTAAAAAAAATTTCAACCAGCAAAACCTGTGTGATGAAGAAATACTTCTCTGACTTCCTTTCTGGCTAGGTGTCTCGCTTTTAATATCCTCTCTTTTGTATGTCTTGATAAAACTAATTTCTAAGTAATTTACTTCACAGATAGAGACAAGTCATTAGTAGGCTAAGACGACAATTAGCCCTGGTTGTAATCCATTGGTTTCTCCATACAATACTGAGGGAGACAATGCTGATTATGTTTATATTGATAAACAAATTACATGTGTGAAGTGCTTGGCAGACAGTCGTCAGATTTCTGTGTAGTGAAGTTCTTGCTCCTTTGCTTCCAAGAGCTTTTATTGATGACAGATACTTTGACCTAAGTGCACGTTTGTTGGGTCTAAAAGACAAGATAAACACAGAAATGTGCAAATTGTTATGGCACCTGCACCTTTTTCTATATTTTCTCTTCACCTTGCACATAGTTATTATTATTTTTTTTTTAAACTCTTCTATTCAAGTGCTTGTTAACCTTATAATCATAATAATGTTAATGATACCACCCTAATTGCAATATCTTTGTACTGCCATTTACCATAAATATTCCACCAAATTAAGTGTCAAAACCTGCTGCATCAAGATAGTTATCACTATTGGAGTGTTACCATTGTTTTTGAAAGGATACCTGGTGCATCACATGACTTTTACAGAGAAGGCTTGCACAACTTCTCCCTGTAGTAATTTGGACATTGTTTTTTTAATTATTATTAGAGGATGTGTTACAAGGCCTGGCTAAAATCAGAATTAATAAATGTCATGGCTTTTGTAGCATCTTACCTGTAGTTTTACAGGAGATGAAGGATATCATCTGTAGACCTTTAACTTGCCTATTTCAAAAACCTCTTTCTGCAGATGTGGTACCCTCAGACTGGAAGCTTGCTAAAACAATGCCCATTTTAAAAGCAGAAGATTAAAGTGATCCCTCAAACTATAGACCAATTAGCTTAACTTGTGAAACTGGAAAATTGATGGAGGCAATAATCCAGGGAAAATGATTGAATACCTAGACACTAATACCATTCTGAGGGATAGCCAACATGGTTTTACACAGGTAGATCCTGCCTGACTCTATTTGTGTTTTTTGAGGAGGCCACAAGGGAAATCGATTGAAACATGGCCTATGATGTGATTTATTTAGTTTTTCAGAAGGCCTTTCATGTAGTCCCACACAAACAACTCCTGCTTAAGCTCAAAGCAGCAGGTATATTAGGAACTGTAGCAAATTGGATCGAAAACTGGTTAACCGACAGAAAGCAGCGGGTAGTTATTAGAGGCATAATGCCACAATGGGCCTGTGTCCATAGTGGGGTAACTCAGGGTTCATTTTCAGGACCATTATTATTTATAATTTACATGAATGATATTGACACTAAGACATACAGAAAAGTGGTTAAATTTGCTGACGACGCCAAGTTAGGAAGTGTAGTAGATTATGGGTTAGCAACAGAGATGTTACAGCAGGGCCTCGATCTAATTAAAGACTGGGCTGAAAAATGGCAATTTAATGTAGACAAATGTAAGATAATCCATGCAGGGGGCAGAAATATGAAGTATAGATATTTTATGGGTTCCACTGAAATAAAGGTAGCTGATTATGAGAAAGATCTGGGTGTGTATATTGACACTTCCATGTCTCATTCTGACCATTGTGGAGAAGCAGTTAAAAACGCAAACAGGATGCTGGGCTACTTCTTCAGCTGTGTTGAATTTTAATCAAGGGAAGTAATGCTATTTAATTCCCTTGTAAGGGGGGCATGTCTTACAAGTAGAGGTTGGCATAGCTGAATTTGTTTAGCCTCAAGCAAAGGAGACTAAGTGGTAACATAATCCAGGTATACATGATTCTAACAGGCCCACATGCTGTTCATCTGGAGTGTTACTTAAAAATAAGTTCTAATTAAAGTGCCCATGGCTACAGTTGGAAATTAGTGGAGGGAGCACTTTAGTTTGGATCTGCAAAGGAACTTCTTCTTACAGTGTGTAATTAGAGTATGGAATACGCTGCCCGAAGGGTCAGTGCAAGCTAAAACCCTAGACTCCTTCAAAACTGAACTTGACAAGATCCTACCAACTTTAAAATTATTAGTTTAATTCCCTTAAAGTGAGCTCGATGGGCTCCTCTTGTTTGTAACTTTCTTATGTGCAAAAGAACTTGGCACTTGTGAAAAAAATGCTGTAAGGTGGATAATTTCAAAAATCATGCTACAAATAGATTTTATTTATCAGTTAGCAATACTTGAAGTGCATAAACAGAAAAAAACAAATAAAATCAATATTTGGTCTGACCATCCTTTGGCTGCAAAACAGCATCAGTACTCCTAGGTACCTTGCTCACAGTTTTTTAAGGAACTCAGCAGGTAGGTAGTTCCAAAGGTCTAGGGGAACTAACTACAGTTTTTCTGTGGATTTAGGGTTCTCAGTTGTTGTCTCTTTATGTAATCCCAGACTGACTCGATGTTGAAATCAGGGCTCTGTGGGAGCTATTCCATCTCTTCCAGGACCCCTTGTCCTTCTTCTCCTTGAACATACTGTAGCTCTTTATGTTTTTGACTGTATATTTGGAGTTGTTCTCATGCTGCAGAATTAATTTGGCACCTGACACCACCCTGATGGTATTGCATGATGGATAAGTATCTCCTCGAGACAATTATTTACGACCAAATCTCCAACTCCAATAGCAGTCTCAAACCTCGCCGCTGTGCTCGCTAGTCTGCTTATTGTTGCTTGTTCGTGCTTCTGAGCTGGTGCTGTCTTCATGAATAAAATTCCTTATGTGGGGTTTTCCCTGCAAAACGCTGCATTGTGGGTCATTTCTTCCTTGTGTGCATGACAGTATTTATGCTTCCATTTCTCCAGTAGGAGAGATTATACTTATTTTCAAAGTCATTCTTGACTGTTTTTTAGGAGGGTATTTCAATCCCTCTTTAAATGTCACATTTTAAAGCTAAGCATTCTGGGTAAATCCAGCAATGGTGGTTTTTATATGAAAGTTAAACCTGGGACCTGAGGTCTCTGTTCACCAAAATGTTGTCAGTGAAAGTAACTTGTCTAACTTTATTGCACATTTATTACTGTAACGCAAACTTAATTAATGGTTATGCTCTAGAAATGTTACATTTGTTGTTAAAACATTTAAACAAGTTTAATTTGTTTTATTATAAATAATAAGTACTATCCTAATATATAAAAGGTGCTTGTCACATTATAAGATCCCATGCAAAATAATATAAAATGTACAGTTGGCTCTTTATTTCATGTCATTCCTTGAGTGTTTTTCATCCAACCACTAGGTGGCGAAATAAATGATGGCATGAGTCACAATACGGAGATACTGCAGAACTTTCTCCTTTCAGGTGACTAGCTGAGCTGGTCATTGCACAGCATACTTTTTCTGTGTTGGTTGTTTACTTGGGCTCTGAAGTAGCTAACTGAGTTAAGTATTTCACTAACTATAGCAGTGGGACCATCTCAGTTAGCACAGAAGTGGTCAGAAGTTTGAAGTGAGCTGGATGACCTCAACACTGCAGTTTGGGTCCAGGACTGAGGACCACTGGACTAACTGATAAATCTGTGCAACTATATAACATTTGTCTGTTTGCTGTAAACCACATGTGGAGCAAGTCAAATATCAAATAAAATGAAGAAGGTCAAATTAGGAGCAGCTGGAACTTGAATAATCCAATGGAAGCTTATAAAAGTGTGGAGAAAATGATAAAACAGCAATATGGATGTGAGTAAAATACTAATCTGTCTGCTGGTATAACAGGGATAAGAGTCTGAGTGTAGGCAAGAGCCTGAACCACCTCAGCATTGAGCAATCAGCAAGCTCATGTTAAACTCAGCTTGCCAGACATTTTCATTGCTCTTGTATCTTTTTAGTGGTGCATATTCAGGCTTTGGTATCTGCTTGCTGAAGATTACAGTATAATGTTTTTGCTTCTGTAGTAATGTTTTGAATTTTATAGCAAGGCCTTTTTAATGACTCATGCCTGTGTCCATTCTTATGTCACTCTGTTACACTAACAGTACAGCCTAGTCAATGTGCTGTCCCCTTAGCATAAAAGCTTTTTAGGCATGTATAACATTCTCAATCACTCCTCATTTAATTAGTGTAATTAGTTAAGAGAAAATGTCCCCTGACCGGGTACAAATGGTACAAACACGACAAAATACAAAAATGGAACATGGTCACAGCTGATGTATTTTTAGTTGAATTAAAAATACAACACAAGCCTCTAGCTTACAGACAGCCGATTCCAGGGCAGATTCCTTATTACTCTTTTCTGCAGGCACACATGAGGATGGAAGGTGTTATGGCCGAGATGTGCGGCAGAGCGATGGTTTCAGAGCGGCATCCGCGCCGCATCTCCTCATCTTCCATGATGCAGCAGTCTCACTGCGGAGTGGGAAGCATTCCTCTCCACAACAGCCGTGTGAGCCAGTGGGAGGGGCGGGACGAGGGGCAATCCCAAAGTAGTACTTAGAGGTCCCCACTTCCTTTTTTGGCTGGTAAATCATCCACATTCAACAAGAGACTTTTGCTCCATGAGCGAATTAGGCATAACGTGATTTAAATGTGTAGTTTAACATTCAAATAACCACAGGGAAGCGAGGCTAAAGTATCGAGGAAACTGTAAAGTGCATAACTAAGCTTTTTAACACCCAATGACACAGACTGCGAAGTAAGCAGGAGCGGGATTTTTTTCAGACTGCACATTTTAAGGGTCCTGGGAATCATCCGGAAACCATTATTTAAGGACAAGATGAGCGAGACTGAATCTGCGATAGACCACATAACTACAGGTAAAGGGAATCTTTAAGCAATGTAATTTTGATCGAAGCTACGTGCCAGCAGAACAGAGTAGACACCCGCAGGAGGCGCGCATATTTTCTACCATTAGCCTAACATAGTTTCTGATTTGCTCTAGCGTTATTTCTTGCTTAAAACATTTCAGAAATCATTATCTAGAAGTATTATGTTTAATGTAAGGATATTTTATGCGGTGTTTGATCGTGGCGTGTTGTATGGCATTAATGGTCAGTTTTTCTTACTCATGGCGATAGCTAATGCATACATAACGATTTTCTTAGTCTGATTTTTTAATTATTATTTTGCTGCTAATTACCCAAGAATACTATTAACTTTCTGAAATAACTGTGAACGCTTAGCAGAAACGTATTGCTTGCGTGAGACGTCACTGAGCCCGAGAAGCGCATCGCAGGCGCAGAGCTTGGTCACGTGACGAGCCCCCGGGGAGTCCGATTCAATGCAGCAAAAGCCGCTCGCTGATTTCGGCAGGTAAAACAGCGCTGGGATGCTCTGTCCCCCATTAATGCGTCGCAGAATTTTCCTCTCCCTGTCTTTTGCGTATTGCTAATTGGCCAGCATCGTGTGTTAATACCGCATTTCTGTTTGAACGTTGCAGGTAAGCGTTAAATTTTGACTTTCATGCAGACATGTTCATGTACTTTCGCCGAATTATCGGCATAGCTTGGATAATTGAATACTGTACATAGTACAGTAAATGTACAGTGGTAATGGTATCAGCGAACCGTGATCATTCTGGAACAGTTATGATCTGATGAGTAATGACTGCGGAGGAAGCTGTGGCATGTCCTTTTGGAAGGACACGGTGAATCCCCCAGCTGTCATGATGTAATGCGGGAGGGGCGCACCTTAATAGCAGCATCATGGGCTGTGGAACGAGTAAATAAGCTTCTTCTTAAATGATGAAAAAAAAAAATGACAAGATTAAAAGTGAAACAATGAAAATGGCGAGAATGCCGTAGAAAAAAATGCGTAGTAAGGCGGCTCTCCAAAATTCGTGCAGTGCCAGTTTTTACTTATTTAGGAATGTGTCTGTTGTTTTGCAAGGCCATCATATTTTCAGGAAGTGTTAAATGAGGCAGTGCGACATTGTCGCGTGTTCATACAGAGCATATTAGCTAACTTGTGCCATGAAGTGATGGAGCAGGCGTGAGGCTGCCGCAGTTCAGCATGTCTGGAGACGAATGGCTAGTGCCTTTGCTGACGGCTTACTCCTCTTGTTTTACTTTTTTTTACAATTCCCCAGAACGTCAAACTGTTATAATAATGTCTGCCCATATCCTGTTCCATACATCAATTGAGCCCCAATCTTTTCATCTATCAACCCAGTGTATTGGAATAAAAAATGCCAACTTGTTTAGCTTCTTTCATGGACTGTAGGGCACACAGTAGAGATCCACTGATGCACACTGCTTTGGTTGGCTTTTGGTGAACACTGTGCAGTTGTGAAGATACAACCCCCTTGGCTGGGTGAGCATATCTTCAGCATATCTTCAGTCACCCTATTTACTACACCATTGGGTAAGGCTTCATTGGCCAGCTCCCAATGAGCGGTTGCTTCATTCCAGGTCTTTCTTAAGCTAGGTAATTTTCACAGAGATGTTTGATGTTCAGCTGACAGAATGTGTGCCTGATTTGTGTAGCTGCCTTTTAGCTCAGAGATACATGGGCATTTCGTAACCATGTGGGAAGGGACAGGTTAAGGACATGTCAGGAAGCTTTGAAGGTCATTCATGCTCTGCTGTCTTGTTCATCTGAGTTGTACATGGAAACCACTGACCCTGAGAGCTGCAGGTTCCAAAGGCTATTGCTTTTCAATTGGTAGTTTAGTATATATTTACAAATAAAGCATGAGTACTGATGTATGAGCTGCTATTTTTTGCTGGTTTCTTCTGGAGTCTCCATGCTGGGGAAGGTGGGCTGGGTTTGCAGCAAGCATGAGCGAGTCACATTGGCTCCTTTTTTTAATGGAGCGTCCCTGTGCTCGAATCATGAGGGATGCTATAAAATGATGAGTCAGAAAGGTTCCAATTTCAGCCAGGTGCCCCCTAGTGTCTGTGCAGCTGATATGGAACCCAGAGGCCCCTTGGGCAGGACGAACTGGCCACTTTACTGTCTTTTCTGAAGGTCGGCACATAAAGTGCAAATAGGCTGCAGTCACACGTAAAGGGGGAAATGCAGACTGCATCATTCAGGCTGCACAGGAAGATATTGAATGAGATATTGTTTATGCAGTCTTTTATTTCGATAGTTGTTTTGGCTGTAAGTTTGTGTTAGTGAGACTTTAACTAGAACACCAAAGAGCTGTCATAATTTTTGATGTTGATGGACGGCACTTCTTTTTCACTCTACAAATGTCTGAGCTGTTTGTGCAGATGCTATGAACTCAACACATCTCTAATGCAATGAGAATGAGTGGGGTGTAATCTAGGGCTGCCGCGATTAGTCGACATAGTCGATGACGTCAATGCTGTAAATGCATCAACATCATTATTTTAAATCGATGCATCTTTTTTTATATAATTATTTTAATTAAATTACCTTTATGATTTCTAAAATGTTTCAATTCATCATAAGAAATGTTTTTCTTCAATATCACTATGTAATTAATTATCACAAAACAAAATGGTGGTTTGTCCACTGTGCAAAGTTCGATGGCATATCACAGTGGCATGAGCGCTATGCATGAGAGAAATCAGGTGCTATTCTGAATGATGGGCTTTCAGGATAGGCGAAATCACCGTAAGTGTTGTCGGTTCAATGTTTATTAAATTGCCATTAGCATTGAAGACTTTGGGGGCGGTGCATGGGTACAATGGTTAGTACTGTCACCTCACACCTCTGGGACCTGGGTTTGTGTCTCCACCAGGATTCCATGTGTGTGGAGTTTGCATGTTCTCCCCGTGTTGTCATTGGGTTTCCTCTGGGTGCTCCAGTTTCCCCCACAGTCCAAAAACATGCTGAGGCTGATTGGAGTTACCAAATTGCTCATAGGTGTGCATGTGTACCCTGCATGTGTTGGCGCCCCATCCTGGGTTGTTTCCTGCCAGGGGAGTTTCTAGCTGTCGATAAGATCAGGGGCTAAGTCAAGTTTACCTGGGGATTGACTTTGTGTTAACATACATGGGGCTAAGCTTAAAATACTCGTCTATAGCAACGCATATGTTCCCTGCCTTGCGCCCATAGCCCCTGGGATAGGCTCCGGATCCTCCGAGACCCTGAACAGGACAAGCGGTTTCAGAAAATGGATGGATGGATGGAAGTTTTGTAATATCTTTTGTCCTTATAGCTCTTGATTGACAGTGCCAGTGTGTGTGTTTGTGTGTATTGGGCTTGTTGGGACCAGTGTTGTTATCGTAAACTAAAACCGAAAGGAAAATGGACAAAACCTCACTTGGAACTACATGTGGTTAGGAAATACCAGTGCTGGTAAAATGTCAGCTGAATATGCTCTCCTGAGTATCTGCATAGCATTCAGCAGTCTGTGTAGCACTGCAGCCGAGAGTGACTCTGTAGCGCAGGAGGTCACCCTTCTCACTCATCTTCAACATAGCATTACAGCGGATGAAAAACATCTGATTTATGTTAAAATACGTACTGTTTACTCTGTAAATTATCATCTTAGACAGATACAGAGAAATAGGGGTATTTTTATACATATTTTTTAGTGTGACAGCATTACCACTTTTTCATTTAATGTTAGTAGTACTGAAAGGCTTTCTTGTATGGATCTGTTTTACATTTTCAGAGCCGTGGGTCTCCACTTTCACTTTTCAGAAAAGCAGATAGTTGCAGTACCCGAGTCCGGACTTGGACTTGAGTCCAGTCTCTAGTCTACATATGATTGGACTCAGTCTTGTCTCGCGCATAGGTGAATTTTTATTTGGTAAAAATTCAGACTCAAACACCCGTAACTCGAAAATTTTTTCCTGAATAATATTTGCTTTACATAGAAATCTAGCATTAGCTACCCAGCTAGCTAGTGAATGTCTTATAATTATATTGTTGTACTTTATTAATCCAGTGTCCACAATTCTTGCACATTGTAAACCTTGGTCTCCAAAGAAAGATAGTTAGTCAGTGTTCAGCTTCTCTGGAGTAGTTATGTTTCAATGTATTAGGGGAAACTGATGAACAGGGTAAGTTTAGGCTTGGGTGGTATCTAATTTTTCATACTGTTATACTGTCCATACATTATATCATGCTATACTGTATTTTGACGGTATTTTCAAAAGCAACACTACTCTCGTATTTTGAAATCTTGGCAATAAATTTGGGGTCCCCACAAGAACAATTTGCTGATTAAATGCCCAAAAAATAAATATATCCATATTACGTGAACACCACCCAAGCCTAGGTTAGTTATTGAATGAAGTTAAACTCCAAGAATATAGCACCTTTAAATGTGACAGGGTGTTATTGCGTACAATTTACATAGATATATATGTACATAGATAGATATTATATATAGTGTTACTCAGTTGTTTGTGCACTTTAAATTTCAGTTCATTTTTACATAGCTGCTATAACAAGAGTTGCCTAAGGCGTATTACATGATTCATTTACAGATACATTTCTATGTCATTTATCGGGAATATTTCAAAAATAGGGAAAAGGGAAGACAAAGAAATTGGTAGTCAGATTTGGTCTTGTCTCAAACTCACCTCACTGTTGAACGAAGTCTTGACTAATAAGGACTGAAATACAACACTCGCAGGTACTGCTGTGCATCGTGAGGGACACATTAGTGTGTTTTACATGTACATTTAATCTAGTCTAAGACTTAACTACAGTGGCCACCTGAGTTTGCACACACATGTACCTGTTTATATTCAAGCTCACACATTCCAACAGGGAAAGCACTACTGGCTGAGTCAAATGCTTTTAAGTTTCTCCAGTTATAGATTTTTAAAAAATTGATTTTGACCGTGGAATGTGAGTTCAGATGCAGACTTTGTGAGGCTCAGCGAAACCA